ACCCCCAAGTCATGACAACCAAAAATGTCTCCTCGCATTGCCAGGTGTCCCCTAGGGGTCAAAACTGCACCCAGTTGAGAACCACTGCTCTAAACATACAAGTGATTTTAGACTGTTGAATAGAAATGTACTAACTTTCACTCGGTCAAACCTCTTATTTATGATACTTTTTGTATAGGATTCACATTTGATGAGCATTCTTTTATACAAACACAGCGACTTGCTTTCTCCCCTGTATTCCTGTTGGAGTTAAAGAATTTGCCTTCCTAACACATTTCTGACTGAGTCAGGAAAGCATTGTGGGGAGAACAGATCTGCCTTCTAGTCTCAGCTCTATGCATTCCAGCAGTATGACTATGACAAGTTAATGAACCTGGCCTGATTTTTTTCCAGATGTGTTATGAGGATAATGCAATTCAGGCCTTAAAGATGGCAGTGAGGATTCAATGAGTAACTGCCTATAAAAACCTTAGTTGGCCCATTGTAACTGCTAAATAAATGTTAGTTCTGCTTATTATTGGCTGTTATGCGGGGCAACTGTGGCTCTCACTCCTTTGGAGTGTTCATCTCACACCTGATATAAATTGTCCCATGTCAAAGTGCAGTTCAGGGCCACCCTAAAGTCCTCAAGCTTGAATCATGAGTCACGTGAAAGACATTTTCAGATAGACGATATGGCCCTTCTTTTTTAATGGAAAATACTAAACCGCCCTTTTAAGAGATGCAAACTCATTTCTTCCCTTCAGCCCATGAGAGGTGGGGCTGCTTGCACACAATATCTTTTCTTCTTCCCCAAACACACTAATCTCTTCAGCCCTTTGCTGCTGGAGTGGAGAAAGATGGCGCTGGACACCCTCAGTCCCAGAGCTGTTCTTGAATCCTCTGCCGGGTTGGCCATTGCTCCCAGGCCAGCCCTTTCCTGCCTTTGAAGTGAACTCTCCTTATCGTGGAACTGTCTGTTAGTGTCTGGACTAATCTGGAGGAGAGTGGAAGCCAGAGTGTGTTGACTGTGGCCCTGGCAGGAGAGAAGAGTGTTCTCTCTCTCCTGGAGGGTGCAAAGGCTTGACCTCCAAGCATCTGGTTTCCTTTTCCTGGCCCCTAGTTGTGGCCTGAGAATATTGACCTATTTGTATCTCGAGTTTCTCTGAGAAATTTTGGGAATTTCTGGCAATAATAATAATAATAAATAGTAGCCATCGCTTAAAAAATAGGTACTATTTGCCAAACACCATGCAAAGTGCTTTTTCTTTGAGCCCATTTTATCGTCACAACAACCCAGTGAGGTGAGGATCATAATCAGCATTTTAAAGGTAGAGAAATTGAGGTTTGGAGAAATTCATGTTTTCAACATCGTGTAGCTGGTAAGCAGTGAGCCTGGGATGTCAACCCAAATCTGCCTGATTCCAGAGCCCATCCTCTTAATCACTGGACTCTAATTCTTCTCTACTCATCCCAGACTCTGAAGCCATTGGACTAAAGAGGTGATTAGTTCCCAGAAAACCTAAACTGGTAAGGTTGACCCATCAAACAGAGATTTGAGAAAGAGCGCTTTACTGTTTGTTAGCTGCAGATCCATACGTGGCCAGCACCAGGATGCACGTGTTTCTTGAATAGTCCTGAGATGTAGACAAAGAAACTGGAGCAGTCCCCTTCTCCATATGCAGACTTCAGTTACAGGATTGAATCTCGTATAAAATTAGGTATTGAGTTAAGCCAAAAAAAAAGAGAAAAACTCTTCTTCTCCAGCCTCATTCCTTTCTTCATTAATTTCACAACTATTTACTAAGCACTTTCTGTATACTCGGCACTGCACCTTGCATTAGGAAGACACACAACGATAAGACATGGCACCACCCTCAAAAAAGTTAGGAGGAAAGATGGATGTGTTAAAATAAAGTGTTCATGGTGGGTTTTGTGGTAAAGGTTTAAGATGCCATGCTGGCTTATAGGGGGAAGTTGTCAGTTGTGTCTAGGCGGAGAGGAGGCCTCATACTGAATGTGACACGTGAGGTGGTCCTGAAAAATGGAGGGGTAGGTGTTGACTAGTGTTAGGGGGTGTACAAAGAAGGCACCCTAGGAAAGGTTGAGCAAAGGCTGCGAATAACTGGTGCATATGAGGAGCTGGAAGGAGTCTGGGATGGCTGAAGCCCAGGGAATGGAGCTCCAAAAGTATACCATCTCAAACATCACACGTTTCCCCTTCAAAGAGCCAGAGCTGCCTAATGCAAAATGCCATTTTACATTTTGACTTCATGTAGCTTTTGTATACCTGAAGACATGATTCCTGTTGCGGATAAAAATCTCTAGCAAAGTGGTAACAGCAGAGACAACCACTATATATGCTTCTGTGATAGAAAGACAACGGTTCAAGCCTTACTCTAGGCACATACAACCTGAGTAAACAGGGACCTCTTATTCGCACGTAAAGCCTAGCTCAACATGGTGACACATTCAAATGAGAGACAACTAACCGCAAAAGCATCAAAAAGCAATGACTTCTTTCCTGAGTCCATGGAAAGATGGTCCAGAGGGCATGATGCCATAGCACACTCTTCTCTTTGGCCCTCTCTCTTCTGAAGGTCCCACTCAAATGGCAGCCATCACCCCAAATCTCCTGTCACTCCCTAATCCCCGGTTTGTCTCTCTGTGGCCTCTACTTCTGTGTATATTCCTGTCTTATAGGAGTATCTCTCTGCTTTTTCCAATATCTCGGTCTTTCTAACGTGAATTAACTTAGCCTCTAATTTTCTTCCCTGCCCAGCAGGGCCCTTCATTGTGCTGATGGGGCTTATGGATAAACACAGAATCCTACTTAGAAGATAAGAGAATGGGAAAGGCTCTGAATACTTATACTTTATATATTTGTCCCTGTCACTCCTACACGTCACTAGAGTGGGACACTCCCAAGTCTGAGTACAGATTTGATCCTCCCTAGCTGTATGAACTTGGGCAAATAATACCTCTGGATATTATTTCTTTATCCATAAAATGCAAATAATTCTGCCTATCCTAAGAGTTATATTGAGAACCACTGGTGAAAGAGCTTTAAAGTATAATACCTCAGCTTATGTCCATGATTGTGTTATTATATGCTAAAATTAGACACACCCACTTTCCATCAGCTATTAGTTATCTGGAGAAGTAGCAACTGCAATAAACCTAGTTATCTACTCCTGACTCAGGATCCAAACTATAGTGATTAATTGGAGTTCACTCTTTATTATCATTATTTACTTTTAAATTTTATTTTGTAGGTTATTCTTAATAATACTTTTCCAAGGTCATACATTTTCCAGAGCTGATTTTAGCATAAGTGTCAAGGATGGTGTACTGTGTCAGGCTCCTACAAACCTATGTCGTTATTCCAGGCTATACTGCTCACTTGCAAGTTGAGCTGGACAGAAGATTTTTACTCATGTAGATTTCTCTCCCCCCTCCAATAATACTAGAGTGTTATCTCTTAATGAAATTGTAAAGTATGTATTTTTGAGGTAGTATTAGTGAATGAAAACTATCATGGATGCTTTAGTTAGTCAATGCTTTTGGGTCAAATCAACACCTTTGTGAGCCTAATTTTTGTTGTTGTTTTGCAAAATCCTATGACAACAATACTCAAAATCCTAGCGCCTTCACCACATCACTTACAGTTCCTTTCTATGCATATGTGTTTTATATTGTAGTATGTCATAACTGTTTACCATGTTGCTATGTAATCATCATAATTATTACTTTAATAGCCATGTAATCATCCATCTTGTTAATGCACCATAATTTACTTAACCTAAATTTTCAACAATAGGAGACTGGTTGTTTTCCAATCTTTCCACTATTATAAATAACCTCTAGGTGACATATTTGTGCATATAGATTCTTTCATTTTTTTTAGATTATTTTCTTAGGATACACTCCTAGAATGGGGAACACTGAGTCAAGGAATGTGAATTTTTAGTAGTTTTTAAATAAGTTGACATTATTTTTCCAGTTTACAATGCCGTCAGCAATACATTAGTATTCTACTTTCATTACAACATTATCAGTAGCATGTATTATTATTTTATATTTAATATGCTTGAATAGTACCTTACTTTTGTTTTTGCATTTTCTCAAAAATAGCAAGTTTTAATCAAACATTTGCTTATAAATTATACATTCTCTCTTGTTTTGAAAAGCCAGTTTTAAAACCTAGGTAGGTTTTTTTTTTTTTAACATCAGGAACTCTTGCTGTCCTGTTCTCCATTGCCTGATAATTTTGTGTATTAAGTAAAGTTAATATTGATATTTTTCTAGCAAAATATTCAATTGTGCTTGTATGTTAACTAATTAATAAGGACCTGTGTATAAGGAACTGTAGGGAGTAACCGGATAAAATAAGAAAATTAGAAAATAAAAAATTAGGAAAATGTATCTGTACCAGTGTTTCCAAGGTCAAAAGCAGGGCTGCAATTCAAATAGTTCAGTCGCTGGTCAGATGTTAATGACTTTCTCTAGCTAGTCCCTAACCTGCTCAGCCAATCTGACTTTTTGCCTGGCAAACTCAGGAGCTTCAGCCATACTGCTTCCAATATTTCCTTCTAGGTTTTATCCCAGGAAAGCTTCCCAATGAATGAAACCCCCCTGCCAAAATGCCTTCACACCGTTCCCAATCTGATCTTGTTCCAGATCGAGGAAATGCATGAAACCCCATGATATATGAAACGGTTTCCCACACCACAGTCCTGACAGCCTGCCAATTCCAGAGACCTGGTTTTGCCCTCCCTTCCAGGCAACTTCACCTATCCCTGAGATGGATATCTTCCACACTCTGCCAGATGGTGGAAGGACATTCCAAGAGCACAAGCCACCATAAATTTGTCCTGGAGTTGAGTGACCATTATCTCTGCTAGAGCTTTCTCTTGGACCTAAGGATGGTAGGGGTTGTTTGAATAAGATAATTGCTGCATACTAGTATCTGGGAACATAAAGAAATAACTTACCCTGTTTTCCTCTTTTTCTTCTTGCAGCCTCAACCGAGGGTTCTCCATAAACGTGGTTAGCCTTTCAAGCTGCTGTCCTGCCGGTTGATATGAGCATGGCCTGTTCCTCACAGAAAGACTAACTCGTGGTACTGCCGGAAGATATCCTTGGAGCCTTGACAGATTAACCAGATTAACTGAAAAAACACCCACTCAGTCAAGATTATGGGCTTTGGAAAATCTTAGTTTGCTGGGGATTTTAAAATGAGGTGCATAATATACAGTGCCAACTCGTTCCAAGTGGTCATTGGTAGACCGTTAGCTGGAAAATTGCTTCCAGTTTTCATCACTGTGCATAACTCAAGCTCCCTTTGGGGAGCTGTCTGTGCCCTTCACTAGGAGTCCTGTTTTAGCATGGCCACTACTGGATTATTTCACTATGTGTGCAGATGGCATGATGTGTTAGAAAAAAATCACAGCAGTTCTGCAATCTCAGTGGAAGTGTTCACCATGTTATGCCCTGGTAGGAATATAAACATGTCTCGGTTATGTTAGTTATGATGTCTAAAGATATTCTGTCCAACTCTTAAGCACTTTATATGAGAACACTACACCGCAACGAATCAGCACGTTCAGTACATGTGAGGAAACAAATATTTTCTTTTTTCTTGTCCTATTTCTGGCTCAGACTGTCGAAGACAAACATATCCCCAGTTGTTTTTGGTAGATTGGTGTAAATATGGCCACAGTACTGTTAGACTTAACCTCTTGACACTTTACTGAACAACTGGACTACTTGTAGCACCAAAGGGAAGTAGAGTGGTCTTGGTGATTGTAGTATCTTAGCTCTTGGTTCCACGTACCTAGGCACAACTTACCACATGCATATACCAATACTCGAACACACAGGAGGCTTCTATTTAGCCAATGTCCATATTCTCTCATTCTATATGAGTTATTTCAAAGAAAAAAAAGGAATGGCCTTCTTTTAATCTAAGACCATGGTGGGTTGATGGTAAGGGCAGCAGAATGCAGTTTGCCTGTGTAGTCCAACTATAAGACTTTGGAAAATTCTCTAGGTCAAGTTTAAGTCACAACTCTGAAGAGAAAAAACAGCAAGTGACCCCTGCGTGCCTAGAGACAGAAAGTGTTCAATTCCATACTAGGCTCCCTCCTCAGTAGAGAACCTACTAGTCCTTTTAATCCTTTCTGGGATTATACCCACAACTAATTATTTTTTATACTAAGTTTTACAACAAAACACAGTCTTGGGAAACCAGTCAGTCCAGTTATTGCTTATATTGAGGCATTAGAGAAATGTCCATATTGACTGACACTACATAATGCTTTAGCATTTTTTTTCCTGAAAATACGAAGTTGGCTGAATCAAAAACTCAGCCAAGTGTGTTCTGTGTGCCCGTGATCTCAGCCTGGGCCGGACCGGCGTTGGAGGCTTTTCCTTAAATGTATGTAACAACTCTGGGACCCGGCCAGCACAAGCAAGCTTGACATTTCAGGGGGTCTCCAGACACACACTCATTGTCTACTCTCCCCACATCTTGCCTCCCCTGGGGGTCTCAGGAAATGCACAGCCCATTGAAAAACGCCCCCGCCTGAGATTTGGAAACCTGACAGGGAAGGAGAGAGAGACCCAAATGTGATTCAGTGAGTCACCCAGCGGGCTGACTCACCACAAGCCTGTCGGGCTGTAGTGTCACAGGACAGGGCTTCCAAGAAGGAACTCAGAGGAGTTTCGGTCACCACCAGGATCTGGCCCTTCAGCGGGTCAGCACCAGGCCCATCAGGCCCTCAACAGACCGTAACCCTTTACTAATCCAGAAGTAGGAGGCCAAACCCTAGCTGCCAACGTCCCTAGACGTAACAGCCCAATCTCCACTGCCCACCTCCTGAGCTTCAATTCTACCCGCAGGGCTTCCTCTTCTTTCATTCCTTCCCTTACTCTGCAAGCATTCTTTGAGCACCTACTGTGAGCCAAATATTGTGCTGTGGTGACAACAGCATACAAGGCAGACTCTCCTTGCCCTTATGAAACAGTATTTCCTCCTCCCAAACACTATCCCCACCCTACCTTTTGCACAATGAAAACTGAATTCAGACACCATTCATCCCCGGCCAGAGAAACCTGGGAAAATGCACATGGCAGCATGCAGTTCCCTTGCCTGAGAAAGTGGGCAGCAGAGGAAGAGGTGGTAGATGGCATCAGGCTACATATTTGTGCCCTTCGTTTACAGCCAACCCTTCCAGGGCCCAGATTTAGCTGGTAAGAGCTTCCCAAAGCAGCTTTCAGTTGCTTCCCTTGATATCCACCCTGGTCACCTATATTCCCATTCTTTGTATAGACACAACCGTTGATCGTTATGCTGGATTCTCTGAAGCTCTAATTCTCTAGTCCTGGGGACACAAAATTGGTCCTGATGAATCCAAAAGAATTACTGCCACGTGCTGAGATCCTGGAGCTGGGAATTAATTAGTTTAGCCAAGGACATTCTGAGACTACTACTAACACCTTTGGAAAACTGGACATGCTTTATGGTGCAGATGTTCATCAAATGATGGTGGTTCATCCTTACTTTGGCTTTTGCAAAATACGTCCTGAACAGTTAAATAAGTAGTTTCCTAGCCTTTTTTATTTTTATTTTTTTGAGTCAAAAGAGTGCTGGAAAATTAATAGAAGTGATGGGTGAAGATGGAGATGGGAGAAGGCAAAAACAAAAACAATGAAAGAGCCCAGTTGAAGATGGCTTCTCTAAAAATGCCTTAATTCCTGGCACGTACCACGTATTTGCATATGAACTACTACTGTTTTCCAAACTGTCGACTTCTGTTTGAAATCATTTTGGGGGATAGTTTTGGAAACATGGTGGCATAAAATCTGAGCAGTCAGGAGCTAAACCAGCAAAATGGAGAAATTACTTCATTCACAGCCTCGAGATTCTTCATTACGTGTTGATCCGCAATTACCCATGGTTACTTCCCGCTGTGCTGTACCTTCTTCCCAAGATGTTTGTAGGAAATTTTACCTCCCCGAAGTTCAGAAATGGCTCTGGTGAGTTTTCTTTAGTAGGAGACGGAAACGGGGAGGTAAGGGATAAATATTTTGATGTCTAAGGGCTGTAGACTGTTGATGCTTAATTTTTCCTTTTACTTAAACCTGTGCTACACCTTTTATTAAAGGCTGACACCCATACTTGTGCAGGAAGGGCACTCTTGGGAATGAACAGAAATGGATAATTATCTGACTCTCTGGGATGCCAAGGAGATTAGCTTGTTCCAGCTCCAGAACTGAATTTAAATATGCAGAGCGGTGGTTCTGCTAGGGTGAAAAGCAAATCACTTCAGTAGTTTAAGACATACCTAGGGGGATAGAGACCCCATCAGCTTTCTCTGTGGGTAATAGCATACCTTTAAATCCCTACTCAGGCTCTGTGAGGTGTGTAACCGCACATTTGACTTCTACCTCCAGACCATGGGTAAATAGCCCAGGGTTCTCCCCAGGGTCTCTTCTCAGCTGCCCAGACAGAGGCTAATAGTCCTTAGTTCTGAGGGAATTCTGCCATTTTTAACATTCAAGGGGAAAAGGAATATCAACCTTCCGTGTGAATATAAACTAAGGATAAAAACCTCTAATGGATTTACCCCTTGCTCCTTACAAATGCTTTCTTTGTCTGCAAATGTCACATAATTGATTTTGGATACGAACAATAAAAGTCTCATGGAAGAAAAGTTTTCAAGACCCCCTTAGCACTCTTAGTTTTACCAAAACCTCCTCTTTCCACTGCATTAGCAGCTTCATTCTTTGTGATGTTTTCCTCTACATTCTTTAGAGTAATTTTGTTGCTTGACAACTAGACCTAAAGCTGTCGTAATCTCTTTTAAAAAATCTAATCTTTGAAAAGGACATACATTTCTTTATGCCTTAAAGGCTGTTTTTATTCCCCTCTCCTACAGCCCCCACCACCCTACTTTTTTGCTTTGTTTTGTGTTTTTTTTTTTTATTCTCTTTCTTCTTTTAACATAATTCAGTGGGTAGATTTCAAGTATTCTATAAAGAACTCAAACAGAAAAACAGAGTCATCACCTTCTTTCCCCAGTACTGACTAATGATTCCTTCTTAAGCTTGATCTTGGTGAAAACTTGCTGCCCAGATAGCAGTGGGACATGGATTCTCATCTCCAGGAAATGACTGGTCAGCACTGCTAATCCGAAAGGAGCCCATGAGATCATGAAGGAGGACAGACCAGCAGAGGCCTCTGCTCAGGGCACAGCTGGGGACTCTTATTTCAAAGACTACCAGGTCCTGCCCCTTAGTCTCCTTAGATCTGCATCTAATCCTGTAGCCAGAGAACTGTCTTGTGAATTCTGCTTTATCGGTGTGCATGTTTTCTGGCACTACTGCACAACTTCAAGGTCAAAGGGGGCCGCATTTCCATTATTTTGCTCTGGTGACTTACTCTAGTGGGGAGACAGGGAGCGTTCTTTTGAAAGCTAACCACTTGTGGGAAGCTTGAGGAAAAGTTGTCCAGGTGTACAGGGAGGTTCTGCTACACCTTAATAAAAAGAGCAAAATGGATCCTTCCCTGGAGATTCTCATCGGGGAAGGTGGCTAGAGGGATGGTATCAGTACTCGTTTTCTTCTGGCCATCATCTTGGCCCTGCAGGGAAAATTCTAGGCCAAGGGGCGAGCACTGTTTCTAAGATCTAAAAGTTTTAGGGTGAAATTCATCTGCGACAAATATAAAGGGGAAGCGCCAGCGAGTACAGGGGCGGTTTTAGGCCTGCCCAACAGCACAAAGACTGAGAAATGACTTCCACAGAACAGCAGAAAATGGGTGTAAGAAGCTTTGTAAATCTGGAGTTTCATTCACCACATAGGGCTATTTTAAAACCTTCAAGAGCCCCAAGCATTCTTCCTTCAGAGCCTCCCTTCTCCAATTAATAAAATTGCCAAATAACCGTATGATTTGCATTGAATTGCAGTTGACTGGTTGACATAATATTAAATACTGCAGATATTTAGACATTATTTCTGATTCTACAATATTCTTTTCATATTTTGGAGCTAATGATTTAGGGGTTTCATTTGTTTAATTGCTTGTTTTATTGTTGTTGTTTTCCAAACCTCAAGCATTTAGAGAAGTCTTAGAAAGGCTCTTAGGCCCAGGCCTTTTTGCCTAGAAAG